AGTAACTGAATGCTTTGTGAATCAACCCCTGAAACACAGGGTTTAGTGCAGTTTAGATTCCAATAAACTGAAAGATTTGTTAATTTTAATACCTAATGCTGAAACCTGTAATTGTTCACACTTTTCTTCATTATCCATTTGGTCTTCCTTTCCATGACAATCTCTAGGAATCATCGTTCTTTCCTTCTAGAAGTAAGCATCACCTTCAGTGGGCCAACTTCTATTCCGCTATTGCACTGCAAGCTATACATTTTAATACAAAACCTGTAGCCAACCGCTACACAATGTCTTGTAAAATTCACTTTCATCAATTTATTAAAAACATGAAAATTCTTAAATCTTTTATCACTGTATCCTACTTAAACAGAGAGAATAAACTATTAATAAATACTAATAAAGTCTTTAAAGACATGAACTACAAATATGGCCATTTTCATGTTTAACTCTGTAGATTGCTTTGCAGACACTAACTATGCAAAAGTGCACATTTGTATATCTTTCAAAGGAATCACTACTCATACTATTATAAAGATTATTTTTGCTTTAAAAAAAATCTTGCTTATCAGTGAAGACCTGAGTAGAAAATCATATGAAGACATTGACATACTTCAGGTATTAAAAAGTACTGCAGAAGGACAGAATGTCTTGGAAACTAAATATGGTAACAAGGGTTATTTAAGTATTTAAGTCAAAGTTCAAAACAGGTCCTTCTACTCCTCAGCTGTCTTGTTCATGTCAACCTTGTTCACAAACCACTTATTTGAAAGAAGGATGGTTCCAGAATTCATTTGTATTATCAGAAAAGGAAGTCTGCAAGAATAACAAAAAACTTCCCTCAAACTATGACGACTCAACTTGCCAGTGAAAGGATGACATTTCTCACCCGTTTCACTTCATCCGTTCAACTACACGACAGTTAAACTTTGTATATTGACTAACTTCTTTACGCACAAAAGCTTCAGTCATAAAAAAAAAAGCAAACTGGGTCACTGTTTCACAGCTTCTCGATTACATATAGGCTTAGCCAAGCAACCTGTATTCCAGAATGCTCACAGAGCCAAGAGTCTCAATTGCTTTTCGCAAAACGTGCTTATATTCTAGATAGTTTGTCAAAGAAGACATTTAGTATCTTTTACTTACTTTAATTAATTCTATACTTTCTCCAAAAGCAATTAAAAAAAATGAAAAACACACACACACACGCCCAATATTCCACCTTTACAAAGGGAAGCAACTACTATTTTGTCTTATTTTCAGAACTTTCCCCTAGAAGCATGCATATAAGAAAGGCAGCCACCTTATCAAGATGTTTCCAGGATGTGGGACTGGCAACGAGATTTTAAAAGTACCTCAAAAGGCTGCCTCCAAAATCAGGTATCAGATAAAAAGGCAAGACAGTTAACACATCAAGCAGTACTTTTTCCTTTTCCCTAAAAAAAATATGCAGTGTGCAAATATGTACAGAGCTATTTACATTTAGGTGTACAGCACCTCAAATGACTGGGACTGCCTTTCATCAACTGTTTGATTTGGTGATTTCTAACCACATGCTTCCAATAATATCTGGGACATCATATGGACTGTTAGTCTTACATATGAATACAAAACAGCCATAGCTAGACCTGCTTTCTTCTCCCTAGTTAATGGAGAAATTTGAGGTTGTTTTACAAAGCTGCACGGAGAAAGCAAGACCAACCCATGCCAAAACCTGGAATGAACAGCACATCGTGAAATTAAATCCTTCAGCTTTGATTATAAAGAAGCAAAGAAGTCGGAGGATGTAGAGATGCAAGTCAGGCGAAATACAATTCAAAACTAATTTTAAATTATAAATTATTATATTTGTCCATGTGAAATCTATATCCTTTTGAAATATCAACACAGAAAAACATCCTTTCATCACCATTTAAATGTAACTGTTTAAGTCTTCCTCCTACTTGTTTTGAAGATGTCCAGGTTTTGCTTAATTTGGAAAAGCTCCACATTCTTTAACCTGCCTGGAGATGCTGCAAATTTCCCAAGTTTGCTGTTGAATGACGTTTTGTACACACAGATCTACCTTTGCCATGGAACGCACTAAACAGTCATTGTATATATTCTTTCTCTACATTTTCACAGAAAAGGCATACCTGAAGCCAGTTTAGCAGTCAAGAAAGCTAGAGAGGTCTTCCATCCCTAGTCTTTATTTTGAGACTAAGTGAGCTGAGTTTATGTGATGAAGTTTTGGTAGCAGGGGAGGGGCTGCAGATATAGACTCTGTAAGAAGCTGCGAGAAGCTTCCCAGGCTTCAAAACCAATCAGACCAGTCTCTGGCCAGGTCGGAGCCCCCTTCCCCTCTGGCCAGGGCCGAGACAATCAGCACTTCTGTGAATGCTGTATTTAAAAAAGGAACAAAGGAGCCTGAAACAGGCTGGACCTACAGTGAAGAGAGAGGGGTGGCAGGAGGCTGGCCACCCCGTCTCCCAGGCAGGCAGCTGCCCACACTGGGCCACCGTCACTCCACTGGAAATGGCCGCAGAGGTGCAGCTTGGATTGCTCCAAAGCACCTGCTCTTGCAGCGCCCATTGGGTGGAATTAGTCCTGCTGGGACTGCCAAGGTTTGTCAGGGCCAGCACAGCTGCAGCAGAGAGAGGACTGAGACCTGAGAGAAACTGCTAGACAGATACCAAGGACAGCGAAGATGGAGCAGGAGGAGGTGTGCTGGAGCTGAGATTCCTCTGCTGTCCATGGAAACTAGCAGTGGAGCAGAGATTGACCCACAGCTCTTGGAGAACCCCACGCTGGAGCAGATTCCTGTGCCTGAAGGAAATCATAGTGAATGGTCTCCGTTTGCTGCTGCAGACTGACTATAAAGCAGAAAGGCATCTGAAGCCCATGAAGAACCCCATGCCAGAGCGGGTGACAGCCCCCTAAGAAGCCATGACTTTGTGGGGAAGAAGCCTGCGCTGGATAAATCTGATGGGTAAGGATCGCATCCTGTGGGAAGAACTCACAATGGAGAAGACTGTCCCATTAGGAGGGGATCCATTGAGCAGGGGAAAAGAGTGGAAGGAGTCCTCCTGCTTTAAGAAAGAAGCAGCAGAAACAACGTGTGACGAATTGACTGGCAACTCCTGCCCAACTCCCCACTCCCCTGTGCTGCTGAGGGAAGAAGTAGAGCCAGGAAGAAGGGAGGGGTGGGGGACAGGTGTTTTAAGATCTCGCTTTTTTTCTTGTTACTTTCTCTGAATGAACTGTTAACGGATTACATTGATTTGTCCCCAACTCGAGTCTGTTTTGCCCAGGGCCATGGTTGGTGGGTGATCCCTCCCTGTTCTTTTCTCAACCCTCAGGCCTTTTTTTACATTTTTCTTCTCTGCATCCCACCAAGGGGAGGAGTGAGCAAGTGACCACATGGTAGCTTAGCTGCTGGCTGGGCTAAACCATGATGCTAAGGCAGGCATGAAGAAATAGGCAGAAGAGCCTCATACTGATTAAGTAAAAATATTTTTGCCTATAGACAAAAGGGATAAAGGCTGAACGCACATGTGTAATTACTATCCTTTAAAGGAAATCTATGATGACTTTATTATAAAAAAAAAAAAATCGAATTGAACTACATTTGAGGTGCTGGAGCGTGTTCAAAGAGCAATGAAGCTGATGAAGAATGACCTCGTAAGAATGACAAGTCTTATGAGGAGTGGCTGAAGGAACTGGGATTGTTTGGCCTGGAGAAAAGGAGGCTGAGATGAGACCTGATCGCTTCCTATGACTACCTGAAAGGAGGTTGTGGCATGGTAGGTGTCGGTCTTTTCTCCCAAGTGACAAGTGATGGGATGAGAGGAAATAGCCTCCAGCTGCGCCAGGGGAGGTTTAGATTGGATACTAGGAAAAATGTCTTCACTGAAAGGTTGTCAAGCATTGGAACAGGCTGCCCAAGGAAGTGGCTGAGTCGCCATCCCTGGAGGTATTTAAAAGACGTGTAGGCATGGCGCTTAAGGACACAGTTTAGCAATGGACTTGGCAGAGCTAGGCTTTTGGTTGGATTTGATGATCTTAAGGGTCTTTTCCAACCTAAATGATTCTATGAGTCTACATGTTAACATAATTTCATCAGCTACAGCTGCTAAGCGCAAGCTACTGTGGTCTGATTTTATTGACAAAATATCTCATTACTATCTGGAAAATGTGAATGGTTTCTCATTTGCCATATTAAGATGAAATACCTTTGAACCATAAGTATTGTGGAACATTTTTGATGACCAATTCCAAGAACAACCTAATTAGTGATTACCATGCAATGATATGCAACTGGTTTACACAAATTCAAGGTGTCAAACCTGTTTTCACTAGAAACCTCTACATAACTGAAATAAACAAAGACCACTTTGAATGGTAACACGCTTTTTTCCAGCTAAATTTATTAATTCAGTAACAACTTACCTCTCTCTCTATATATCCTGTTATTTCTTTAGCTAATCATAATTTTACAACACTAGTTTAACCTGTAACTATTCTGACAAAGCCTCTTTAACAGAATAAGCATTATAAATAAAAAAATCAAGAAATCAGAATCAAACATAAGCTACTTTTATTCCACTACATGGTACATTTCAAAGGGACCAAAAAACTGGCAAGATAGCATTGAAAATCTGTGCTGTCCCAACCTATTCATTTTAATATCTTTAATAAGTATATCTACTTCCTGCCCACCCCACTCCGCCATGGTAGACTTCTAATGTGAAGATGTTATGATACAAAAAGATAGACTTCATCTTTCTTTACAGCTATCTAACAAAAATAACAATTATTTGCTGAGACATGATGATGATGATCAGAAACACAAAGAACCTTATTCCCATAAACAGTATTTCCATAAGGACAAACTATAATTTCACACTGTACACAAAACTTGCAGTTCTTAATGACTAAAGACTGAGAAAAATTACAACTTAAAACCAAGATGATTTTAGACAAATCACAGCTGTTGAATTCCTGTTTCTGCACTTAAACACACGTACCTTTTCCTAAATGTGTATTTATACTCATGTATCTAGCTGTTCCTGTAAGGCTCTTGTGTTCTCGATACGGTATGTGCTTCTTGGTTTCTGGATCTACATACTCCTTTGCCAAACCAAAATCTATAATATGAATGATTTGCTGGGTTTTGTTTCCAGGTCGTCCTATTAAGAAGTTCTCAGGTTTTACATCTCTGTATATCAAGTTCTTGGAATGGACATATTCCATACGAGAAATCTTTCATAAAAGGACAAAATGACAGAAAGGTTAGTTTAAGCTTCAAGTTGCCACATGAAATTGTGGCAGAAGCTAAATAACTTACATTGACTTTATATTTAGAGGAAATCACCCCTCCTATCACCTTCAAATCAAAGAGTTATTGTTCTAAAGTATCTCCCAGTTAAAGTCAATTAAAATTGTACACATCCCCTTAGCAGATACACCACATCGTGTATTGGAAACTTTCACGCTGGACATCAAACATGAATTCGTATATAACAGAAGTTATCTTCTTTAAGCACAGTTGGCACCAAGGATGTTTGTGTACATTAAAACTATAACCAGAAATTATGTCATCAACCAGTGAGCAGCAAAGTTCCAGGTAGATCTCTTGCATATTAAAGGTATAAACAAGAGAAGCACTGAAAGTTCAGTACTATGCATTTAACCTCTATTCTAGCTAGACTGCTTTCCATCAAAATTTATATATGTTTAGAAAGGAACAGCAAGTATTCAATAAAGATGATTTTTGGATCTGTGATGATATAAGTGTTTTGAAAAAATGAACTTTGTCATTTCGGCTGAAAATAAGCAGAATATGTCTATAGTTGCAGGCCTGTTATCCAATTACAGTTGTGTTATTTTTACCCTAAAAATATCACTACCTCTATAGGTAAGTGAAGGTTCACTATCATAAACATTTCATCAGGACTTAATTTAAAACACGTATCAAGATAAACATGCAAAGCCTTATTTCTCTTTCTCTCTCTTTGCACTTCCACCCACCCCCAGGTGGGAAGCAATCAGGAAATCTTGAAAAAAAAGGACAAATTCTTCCTTGAATAATTTTGTGCCATTTTAGTATTTCAGGAAGAGTTTGGGGGACTTTGTTTGCTTTTTGTCTGAGAACGCCCAGGAAAAGTATTTATTCTATTTAGGAGTCCCATCATCCAGCTGCTTTTGTGGATTAAAATTATTTTTATTTCATGAAGGTTTTCTTTTTAACTGAGTATGTCAAACTAAAAATTCACTATTTCAGGTTGTGATCATGAGAACTCAGAAGATACCATGAAACTACATTCATGCAACAATTCTTGAAAAACTAGAACAAAGTACATGAAAGTGACATAAGACAATCTTCCTGCTAAAACAGTATCACAGGCTCTTTAGAAGCCACCAACATCAATTTAAAACACAGGAAGTGCAAATCTCTCAAATGAAATCAGCATTTAATCCACTGAAGACTGACTTAGTTATTCTAATAAACACTCAAATTAACATCTATTCTACTTACCAACTGTACGGCTATCATAAGAACGGTTTTAAGAGAAAATGTCCTACCACACAAGTCAAATAAATCTTCCAGACTAGGTCCAAGCAGTTCTAGCACCATAGCATTATATTTGCCACATGGGCCAAAATAGTAAACCTGAGGTATTCCATCTGTAAAATGAAGATACAAAGTAATTATAAGGGGTTAAATAAGATTAATGAACATACTAATAAAATTCCTACCCTATTTCAAGTTGATCTGATGTAAAAGATACATTTTTCACACAAAAGCAATAACAAAATCTTGCAAAAACTACAGGTAATGAAGACAGGAGTAATAAATGTAGTACCAGTTTAATTAAATCCTTTATGAAAACTGCATGTTTGACTTGTGAAAGATTTAAAAGCTTTTTATAAAAAATAAAAACCAGAAGTTATCTGTTAGGTTTTGTAACAGTAAATTGAATCAGGATTTGAAAAAGATATGAGGAGAGGTTTAAAGAAACACCTTTTCAAAAAATAGGCATTTGAGTTAAATTTTTTAAATTAAGGCTATGACGAACCTACATTCAGGAATAAAATAACTTTATGATCTATAGAATTCATTTAAAAATCCAGAAGAAGAGATTAATGAATCCTCAAGTTTAATGAGACATTGTCAAGTTTTAGATGCATCATGAAAATAAAAACACCACAGATGACAAAATTGTTATAGTCATCACTTGTTAGGATTTTTCTCCAAACACAAGCATTTTCCACTTAAATTTGCACTAGAAGGCTTCTCCTGTCTTCTCTTCCTCCATTATTTTTGGTTTCTGTTTAGATAGCACATAAAAGAAACATTTTTCTTAAATATGAGTTAGTCCATTAAAAGTATAAATACCACAGAGTGGAAGTTTAGGGTTTTTAAAAAAAAAAAAATCTAGATTTCTAGTAAAACGTATGGTAGATAGATTTATTAAGTCAAACCCTCTGAAGGACAGGGATGTTTTGAATGTCATCACAAGGACAGATAACAGAATTTTTAGAAGTCTCAAGGTGAACCTATGTTAAAGATTCATGTTGATTTCACTTCTGAAGTATCACACTAGACACTCAAATTCTTAAAATTTTTTCAAAAATTGATATCCAGAAAAATCCATTAAATTCTATTTTTACTGTCAAATCATTAAAACGATTTAGAAGAATGTTTTTGAATAAAACATAACTTTACATTTAAAATTTTATACTAAGAAACACAATTTTTTAAGTCCTAGTTGTGTATTTTTATATTTATTTTTTTACTTAGGACATTTTTAAAATAATAATTAAACTCAGAACAAAACATACATCATGTCCAAATACAAGATATGGGTACAAAAATACCCCATTGTATGCTCAGGTTAAAAGGTCTTAAATACTCTGTAAACAGGTATAAAATACAACTACCTAAGAGGGCAAAAGGCAAATTTAGCGTTAAAGTTACATTTATTTTCAAACTTTACATGGACTCTAAAATGTGAACTGTCACTCTGATACCTTATTTCTATGTCTGATGTAAAACAAGTGTCGTATTGTCCAACATAAAACACTCGAAGAATATGTTAATTTGCTGTTCATAAAAACTATAAAAAACAAAGACTTTACTATTACGTCAAAAAATTTACTTTTGTTTTCTACAGCAGCATCCAAGAAACCCTGGCAGGAACACATACTTGGAGTACACGTTTCCTCAGACCAAGGCCATAAATATCTCAAAAACCAGGGCTAAAAGTCGCACGGGCTACACCGAGAACATTCCCTTATTATCTAGTCTGTTACCAGAATCACTGGGCAAAGGTCTAATGATGTGCACAGCCTAGAACAGCAAAAATACATGTTACCTGAAAAAAAATTACTTCTATTCTTTTCCTTGCTCAGAAGCATAACAAGCATGTCCATATAACAAGGCTTCTCCTGGCACAGCAGGAGAATCAGTCAAATATGTTTAACAAATCAGTTAACGGTATCTAAACCCTTAGTAGAGGCATAATCAACTTTAAGTTAGCAGTGCACGTACGACCACCTGCTTCATTAGAAAGTGCTTCCTGAAAGAATATTTGACAAAATAAATCCAGGCATCAAAAGACTGGAAGTGTTCTTTAATATAACATTCTCAAGCACTGTGTTTACAATTACACTAGCAACGATGTCGCATTCTATCCTTATGTTCATATATCTTCATATATACTCATATACTTTATCGATATAGTGCACGGCATATATATTCCAAAAATGAATATGAAAATATTCTGCACTTCTGGACTTCATAGCTTTATAAAAACACCTGCCTTAAGAAGCCAGGTAATCCAGACATAAGGAAATACCAGTATTTAAAGCCTTATGATCCAATTTTACTTTTAGTACATATGCACTGTGTGCCTATATAATTAAAAAGAACTTGATATCGTTGCCTCTAGTCACCTTGCACTTCTTCACATGCACAGGACCTCTTCCTCATTCAGCAGAATAAGTTTTGTTCTCTGAAGGAAGCTGGTTATTACAGATTATTTTTTTTTTGCTCTTCAGTATGTATCCTCTATGTCTCATTTACTTTAAACATTCAGTACTCTGAAAACTTATTTTTCCTTTCATACGAGCTTTTTCTATGGTGTCCATTGTTACAATACTGTACTATACAGAAACAGAAAATCTGTTTTCACAATATGGCAACAAAATACCAGATTTCGCCTTCCTTCTCTACAGATCAAATGCTGAGTTTAAAAATTAAAACATCCATAACTGAGTGTTTTTTGAGGTACACCAAGTCTCAAGTTTTTCATATCTTACAGTGCTACTTACACTCAGGAATAGATTTGTAATTGTGTCCACTGTAGCTTTGATTAAAAATAACAACCTTGCAGTTTTAGCAAAACTAAAAGCAAATGAATGCAGCATTTCTAAGAGCATTTCCACTAACTGCTTTTCCTACATTCGAGAATAACAAAAACATAATCCCTAAAAATCTAGTTTCAGTGTTCAATTGTTTGAGGACTAGAGCTTCCATTTATTTTTTCAATATGCATGATCATACCCATATCTATACGAATATACTTAACATGCATAATCATACCCATTTCAGAAAGACTTCACAAGAGTAGCTTACTGCTAATAACGAAGAAGCACATAACACGTTCCACACTGCATCAGAACATGGTACGAGATAGTGGGTTTAGTTTTAAAAAGACCATCCCTAATTGCCAGATAACAGATCAGAAAAGACACTTGTACACATGAGGGGATGTTGTAACTCTAGAATTCAAGTTTCCTGCCTCCACTTTTGGGTATGGTGGAACTACACATGGAAGTGTGGATGAATCAGCAGCAGCAAATTAAGATACCCAACATAAGTACTGAAATGTAAGGCAAAAAAAAAGCCACCTGAGCATATAGAAAGAGAAAAGCACTGGGAATTTGGAAGAAAGACCATCACTTTTAATTGCCTGAGACATATTTGGAGAATCTCTATTCTTATATTTGCACGTTTAAAGACATTAAGTCCATATTCTCAAGAGGAGTTAAGTCTCCAGTTACCACTGCATCTGCTTTTTGCCACTTTATAACATTTTAAAATATTAAACGCATTTCAAAAATACAGAAGCCAGAAGATTTCTGGGCTTTGTCTGGATTTATAGAACTTGTTTGCATAACTATGTGCTAGTAAGAGAGGAAGCCTTTGTAGAAAGGAATTCATGACATTGTCAGACCTGTAGGCAGTTGCCAATTTCAGAAGTGTGTTTATATAGGAGATGTCAAAAACACCCTTTAACACTTTGTTCTATCACACCGTATCATGAAAGCATCACGGCAACTCCTGTCAAGTATACATCCAGGGCAAGGAGTTAGCGTTTCAACTGTGATAAAGTTCATTTTATTTAACATGCCAAGAATAGTACTTATTCTAAATACAACACTTGATCTTCTGATTAGACAAAAACTTCAGAACACTCGAAAATTGTGTTTAATATGTTAAGTTACTATCTTCTGCAAGGCAGATATGGAGTATTATGGCTAAAATTCCCTGTGTTTATAAAATCATATTAACAGTTCAAAGTACTACAAGTTTGGGCATTTGCTTTGGTTTTTAATCAAAACAGTTTTACTGCTTTTGTTCTAAAACAATGACCTAACATCATTCTGCTATTTGCATTATTTCTTCATGTCTCTAGATCTCCAAAAGAAATGTCAGAAAGTGACACGTTACTAATAAAGAGCACCTGGGGTTTTTCTCCCCACAATAAAGATATAAATGTAAGCTCTTCATATAATCTTTTAAAAAAATAGGGTAAGTCAGAAAAACAAAGAAACTTTCATTTCTAGAAAAGGAAGAATTCACCCTTTTGTTCACAGGATATTCCAATACTTACTACCAATTAAGAGCACATACTTTATTTCTATTTCGTATTAGTCTGGCTTCATCCACTAAAGTCCTTTAGTTTAAGAATACAAGAAGGAAATAGCGGAAACTTGGAAGACACATCCCAATCTCCTTAGGTATCTTGCTCAATAACATACTTTCATTACTATTCAACCCTTTCTATAAGCTTGACAGATCTTCTGCTCTAGTCTCAAAAAAACTTTTTAAAAAGAAGTACCTCCCACCCCAACCCCCCACAAATTGTGTGCAGAATTCAATGCTTGTCACACTAATGTCACTGTAAAGTTAAAAGTAACTTCCTACTCTTCCACAAATGATGAAACTCACTGTGGCCAAAAAACAGCATCACATACTTGCACTAAGTTACTTTAACACTGAAATATCTAATATATCTAATTCCTTTCTAGGTTTACAACTCTGAAAACAGAAATCTTTTTTTCAGATATGAGTCACATTTACTTATCCTTAGATATTTACACTTACTCACAAGTAAAACACTTTCATCTGAAAGGACTCAATTTACTAAAGGCATCCACAATGCTTTATGTGACTGTCCTGTCAAAACTGTAAACCCATTTTAAACCAATACGGCTTTCAATCCCATTTTACTGATGGCAAAAATCAAGACAGTCTTGACTTGTAAATTCACTATTTGAATACTGCTTAGATTCCAGTTTCTTTTTCTAGAAAAGTTAATTTTCTTTAGACACCTAAAACATTGTTGCTGTATACCAGTGGCCTCCAAAATAGAGTGCACACACTCAAAAAGT